ACACGCACACCAAAAACCTTTGCAAAACACCGCAAAACACACCACAAGCCTCACCGAACGTCTCCTTGCTACCCCGACCTCGCCCACAGGAAGCTGCAACCGCGTGGCAGCAGGGAAAATGGCCGCAGATCCGGTTCGTAACTAGAGGCAAGTTCGTAACCTGAGGTAAAATTTTCCTGCCGAAGCTGGTCGTAACCTGAAATGTTTGTTCGTAGAGGCGTTCGTATCCCGAGGTACCACTGTACTTGTTTTCCATTCATTTTGGAATTAAGTTCCTCAGACAAACACTGATATACGTTGTTTCAATCTTTTCTAGCATCAGTAATTTCAGAAAAGGTTTTATTTCTATCACACATTGCCATAACTCTTCAACTCAATCATATCAAATCATAACACTGTTAAACTAGAACATATGAAATATCGAAAACATTACAGGTTCCCTCTATGAATATTCAGTGTTTCGAGATCTAATCATGTATAACATTTTTTTTTCACAACAACTAGACATACTGGAGAATATTTTTAAAAGTTGATTGTCAACGTCACTGTGTTGAGTGATGTTAATCAATAAGGAGATAGTAATGCAACATGGGCTTATCCCCTTCTTACCCTATTCTAGTTTAACATCCATAAATTTGTTAAAGTGGCATTAGAAAGATTAACTTCATTTAAATATCTAAATGTATTCTTGATCTTTATGCCAAAACCTAGGAAATTATTACTATATTAAGAATTATAGATGTATAATGGGGAAGCAAAAAAGCTGTTCACCCAGGCCTCTGGGGAAAGTGATTGAAGCTTCCTTCTAAACAATGTGGGTTTGCTTTGGTTGTTATCATCTTCTGTTCTTTGTTCTTATGATTGCATTATTCTATGGTTCTCTGTGTTTTTTAATCTGTGAACTGCTCAGAGTCTCTAGAAGTTGGTCAGTGTAAAAACATTAAATAAATAAATATTTAAGCTAAACCAAGACTCTTGAAACTTAAATACTGTAAACTGAAATAAATAAATTTGCTGTCAGAAGCATCACAATCTTGTATCTATTGATCAAACTCAGGATTGCAATGATAAAAATGTGATTTGTCCTAGAATTAAAAAAAATGGCTATAAAGATTCATAATTATGCAATGAAGTACTTTTATAGAACAGGATATTGTATATGTACAGAAACAGAATTTTGTTTATTATATTATAATATATTATATTATATATTAAATTTGGAGTTCCAACCTTTCAGACATTAATTCTTATACTTACCAATGTCATAGGCCAGGAAATCAGCAGAAAAACACTTTGCACCATTACTCAATGAAGTATCATTATGAGTGTTTCCACCAAAAATTAACATTGCTCCATTCATTAAAACAGCGGAGTGGAGATATCTTGCAAAACCACTCTCTTTTAAAATTGTCCTATGGAAAAAAAGAAGTATATGTAAGGCAGGAAAGGGAGTCAGGGTGATATGTGTAGAATAACTGTAAAATCATAAACATTTATTTAGCCATAATGCTAGCAAACACATATGTTAAATCCTCACACAAACAAATTTCAAGAATTATATTATGGATAGTCCTGAAATAGGTCAGGAAAGAAACAAGCTGTAACTATTCATCCTTTTCTTAAAATTCCCTATTACCCTGGAGGCTTTAAAGTGGAAATACAATCTATAATTTAGCTGACATTATATTTTCTTTGCAAATCCAATATTTTCCCCTCTTATTTTAAGGAGTGTTTCCTAACAACTTTTAAAAATATGAATTCATTTACAACAATTTGGAGTGTGACCTGTGATAGTTTTACTGATACCACCCCTGAATGAATGTGTAAAGTAGCTTAAGACCTGAAAACCACAATTCAGCAGCAGTGGACCTTCTGTATGTGCTATTTTATTACTTGTGTCTCAAATAATGAGTACTCCAAAACCTATTAATGAGCATCATTACTAATCCCCTGTTCCCCAGCTGTAAGAGTACCAACAATATATTTACAGCTCACTTTCTGATGATGGTATTTATATCTGTTTGTATGTATGTATGTATGTATGTATGGTGGCTGGATAGCATAGTGGTTAGAACACCGCCTTTGACGCAGAAGACCGGGGTTCAAATCCTGGCTGGTACCTACCTTACAAGTAGGGATCCTTGGGCAAAGACCCCCTAATGCTTTACCTACCTACCTCAAATATGAAAGTGACACGAACTAACAGGATCATGCCGGAAGTCGCCCAGATTAACAAGGTCTGCATCAGATGTTGGGGAACCAGGACAATCTGACGAT